GGGAAAGAGGGTCAAATTGAAAAAAGTAATCGGGAGATAGTTACCTTCTCAACATCTATGCTAAGCTTCTTGCTCAACTTGGTAGAATGCAGTCTCCCTGATCCACTTTCCAAATTTGACCTTTCACGAGATGTTGCACGGCTCAATAAACAACTAAGGCGAGACCCCTTTTTGGCATTGGCAACATCATCCAATAGGCTGCAACCCCATGTGTATGCAACATATCTTCTCAGCTAATTTAACAGTATTTATGGAACAAATGATAAGAAAAAGACGTCGAAACCTAGAAGAAGATTTAGGTGAAATCAAGACATCTAAAGTTCTAACGGAACAATTACTTTATCCCAGCGATCTAGAGCTTTTCGACGACTCCGTATCCTTCTTAAAGTGGCATCTTCACTCCTCAGCCTCTTGATCCTGAACTCACACTATACAAAAACACCAAACTACAACCATCTGAGATATACCCAGTAGAGAGAGGAGGACTTTTGAAAAATAATATTTCCATTGCTTCTGGTGCTGCATCTAGCTGGAGGACGAAAGTTCAAGCACTTCCCCACAATCATATCATAGAAAAATCCCCCAAATGTTTTAGGCGTGATACCCTTTTTCTACCAAGAGAACGGTATACTGCATGTTAATACACCGCATGGTACAACACTAGGTTGAAATATCTTCATCCAAAAGAAAAGGAAAGGCGTGAAAAAGATAGATAAACAAAGAGAAAGTGAATAAGAAGGAATGGCTTCAAACCTGGACCAGTAGGTAGAAAAATATGCCAATACTAATGCAATATAGACCACCAAGATCTGCAAGGAAACTAACTGCAAGACAACAGAAAGAACCTCCATTTGATACTATGCTTAAAAGGATTAATATGATAAGCACAATGATCACAACTACGATGCCCTCCTAGTACTCAAGGGTTGAATGCGATCTAGATGGATATAATCGTCATCTTCCTTAAGCATGGTATCAAAAGTCCAGCCAAAGTTCTAAAACGAAGTTTGCCTAATAAACCACAAATGTGCTCTCAAAGTGAAATATATGGACTCGTCCAGAAGTTATGAGTAAAATGCCTTTGCACTTTTTGTTCATATAAATTGAGCACAAGTCAATCGCGTATAACAAGGAGCCAAACATGTTTGCATCTCAGAGCAAAGGAATGAACGAAGACAAACATTTTCACTTCAAGGTTAGCAAGATACAGCCAAGACTTTCTATATTCGGCAAAAAAAAGGTGACTGGGCAAAGTATATGGAGGAGATTACTTACCAGGACCCAATATATTTTTGTTATCTATCTCGACAATATAGGCAGAGAGATAATTGATGAACAAGGTGGTGTTGACTATACCATCACTTGACCTTCCAAGGGAGGCCTGAAGCTGAGCATTGTCTCGGTAATTCGAACCAGAGGTGAACTCATGGAACAGAGGTTGTATCATCTTTAGATCATGCAAATTATGGTAAATCCGGGGAAATAGATTAAACTTCAATATGTTCCCTTCCGTTCCACGGAAGGTAATGGGTCTATCATCAAGTATGCTCCCATTTCTCAGAGTGCCACTAACAAAACTTATATGCTTCTTGTTAGCTCCATTCTTGGCAGTGAAATTGAACTGAAATCCAACTGCACTAGCGGGAGCATTAGGAATATCGACAAAATGCCACGAAATATACATGTAGTCGTCGGTCAGACGACATTTGATACACTTGAAATTAACTATTGGCCCAAAACTGGTATTCTGACAGGTATAGCTTCCAAAACTGGAAAGAGAAGTAACTTTGAAATCACTGAAGCCTGGATTTCCAGTAACCACATTCCCAATGCCGCGCAAGTTCAAGCAGCTCATACCAGAAATAGTAGTGACATTGAACTCCATATCGTTCTCAAATGAGACTAAATCTGGGGAATTGGTAGCTCTCACATTATGAACCTCGATGGTTCTCTTGGTTATGATTTGGTAAAGCAGCCTGTGAAGGAACTGAAAAGCAATCAATTTCTAGCGTACAGGAACAAGAACACGTTGAATTCGAAGTTTTCCATAACATCAAACTCACGCAGCGAATAAGCCTATGAAGAGAATCCAACTCGCAACAGATAAAGTCCCACCCAGTTCCGTTTTCCGTTTCTTCACCACCTGCTGATCATCCTGTGAATGAAATTCAAGCTACCCTCAAAACCCAGAAACCCAATTGGTACTCTAAACCCAGTTCATGAAAAATCTAGGAAACAAGGGGCATCAGAAGATGAAGAATAAATGGTACTAACGAGCCAGTGCCTGGTGGCGAAGCAGACATCGAGACGGCTAATCCACCACCGGAGGTTGAACCAGATGTTGCGACCGTCGCGGAGCTTGGAGAACCTGAGGAAGAAGCAGAAGACGAGCCAAGAGAGAACCATAACGAGCGTGGCCTCCAAGAACAAGGCCTGTGACTGCGTGAACTTCCGGATCGTGTTGAACGAGAATATATTCTCCGGGAACGATATGCGGAGGAAGTCGACGCCGTTGTCCGTCGAGATCGTCGACGGCCATCCGAAGATTTCGCATACGCCGGAGCTCCGATTAAGTAACTGCCCTACGCCGCAAGCGCAGCTCGTGGCGTTGAAGGTTATGGAGTTCGATGGACACGCCATTGCAGAGGGCATTTTACTCAAATCTGAAAGACAGAAAGGTCGGGACTCTCGGAGAGAGAGAATCGTCGTTCCGGGAGGAGCAGAGGGGTAAGTAAGTAATTTCCTACTCTGTTTTTTTCAATGCGATATTATTTTAACAACGTATATATCTGATTAGATTCACAATTAATTATAAAAGTAATAAAACCAAATTGGCTGTAATATATGAATATTAAATACAAATCTTTTTTATGATTACAAAGATTATATATATATATATCTAAAACCATAAATCATACATATATCTTGGTTCAAATATTCTCATAATATATACAGATATCGATATCCTTTTTTTTAATGAAAATTTAACAAGTTTTCTGAAATACTCAATTAAAATATTACGAGTGAAATCAAATCCCTTTTAAGTTTTTTCAAATCTATAAAATAACGGTCAAGACTCATAAATCATGCATGATTTGCTTGGTGCGAATACAAAACCTCGTTCCATAGCCCATTATTCCTTCGGCCCATATCGGCCCATTTAGGCCCAGCAAGCAACCTCTGATTTTCCCGCCATACCGATAACATAAACGCCGTTATGGAAAAAAAAAAGGATAATAGGTGGAGAAAAGGTGGCGAAGGAAGCGAAGCTAGTTGCCAATGCCATGGCATATTTATTTATTTTTATAATACGAAAATATTTATTTAGTTTTTGGTCCAATTATATTTTTTAGAAAATTAAGAAAGTTCGGTTAAATATTCTTCAGCACAACTTGGATTTGAACCGAGGTAAAGAATATATTTTATTATTTGACCGATCGATGAGCATGAAACCAAAGAATGTGAGCCGCTGATTTTATTTTATATTTTTTTAAAACGATAAGAAACTCATTATTGGTCTTTCTAAATAGTATTTATTCTTCATGCATAATTAGCAATTGAGCAGTCGTGTCTAGAGAACATATGCCATAATAAAAATGCACCAAATCATAACCGCCGAACCATATTCACTTCCTAGTAGACGACCAAGGAAATCGACTGAACCAGGGAAATCAGATTAAAGAGCATGCATTGAACTTCTACTTGGACTTGTTGGGAGAACGAGACATAAGTGTTCGCACTCCGTCACTAGCATGGTTGCAGGGGCTAGTCTCGTACAGGTGGGACAGGAATTCAGCAATAGACTTGGCCGCTATTCCATCCGACAATGAGATCAAGAGTGTAGTTTTCTCCTTACCGGACAATAAAGCTCCCGGGCCCGATGGCTACCCCAAGGAGTTCTACACCGAGAGTTGGGAGATTGTAGGTGGTGCAGTGGTAAGCGCTGTTGGGGATTTCTTCCGCTCCGGGAACCTATTAGGCCAGATTAATGCTACCACTATAGTTCTGATCCCGAAAAAGACAGAAGCGACGAGGTTATCAGAGTACCGTCCTATCAGTTGTTGCAACACCATCTACAAGATAATCTCCACCATTCTTGTACGTCGCCTTAGACACGTAGCTCTAGAGATGGTTTCTCATAATCAAAATGCTTTCCTCAAAGGCAGATTGATGATTGAGAATGTCTTGCTTGCATCGGAGATCATACGAGAGTACAACAGGACTTCATCGAGGAGGAGTGCGATGCTAAAGCTAGATATAAGAAAGGCATTCGACACCCTAGATTGGAACACTATAATCCAACTTTTGAGAGCCATTAATCTTCCGCCGGTGTTCGTCAAGTGGATTGCTACATGTATTACAACTCCTAAATTCTCGGTGGCCATCAATGGAGAATTAACGGGGTACTTTAAAGGTCGAAAGGGATTAAGACAAGGGGACCCCCTGTCTCCCTATCTCTTCATCATGACAATGGAGATTCTTACTCGACTATTGGACAGATCTGTTGCAGATGGACGACTATCCCTGCACCACCGCTGTATTAATCTGATGATCACTCATCTCTTATTCGCAGATGATGTCATGATATTTACCCAAGGGGACCTATCATCGTTGTCCGAAGTCCGAAACATTCTAACTGAGTTTAGAGTAATCTCGGGGCTACGGATCAACCCAGAAAAATCAGAGCTGTTCTTGGCGGGATTATCCGATGGTGAGAAGAGATCTATCTCGGCGGCCCTCGGTATTGGGTTGGGATGCCTCCCCGTGCGCTACCTGGGCGTTCCTTTAAGTCCATCGCGCCTAACGAAAGCTGATTTTCAGCCGTTATTGCAAAGGATTAGGGCCAAGCTTGATGGTTGGACCACAAAATTCCTCTCAGCTGCAGGAAAGATCCAGTTAGTGACTTCGGTGATATTTGGTATCGTTAACTCCTGGACGATGACTTTTGTTCTTCCAAAATTTCTACTAAAAGAGATCGACAGCCTCTGCTCTAGCTTTCTTTGGCAACAAGGACCAGACAAGAAACCTAGCCACCGTATAGCATGGGACACGGTTTGCAAACCTAAGCGTGAAGGGGGTTTAGGCTTACGGCGGATGGAGGTACAAAACACGGTATTTCGGTTAAAACTAATATGGTTGCTCTTGAGTAAAGCAGGTTCTATATGGGTCGCATGGATCAGAGCAAACGTCTTCAAAGGGAGGACTTACTGGGAATGCCCACAAAACGTCGGGGCAACATGGAATTTGAAGAAGTTGCTACGGCTGAAGGAACGAGCCAGGGAGTTCACTAGGATCCAGCTTGGAGATGGAGGAGACGCATCCTTTTGGTATGACAGTTAGTTGGAGATTGGACCTCTCATTGAGTTCATCGGGATGGCCGGACCTCGCCTCCTGAGGTTACCGAAGACAGCGAGAGTTAAGGATGCAGTCCACGAGGGAAGTTGGCTAATCCGAGGAGCAAGGAACGAGCGGGTTCAACAACTACAGACCATACTCTCGAGAATGGAACCCCCAAGCCCGGACAACGGCTCTGACCAACCGCTTTGGAGAAAGAATGACGACAACTATCATCCGACATTTGTCTCAAGACTTACGTGGGACAAAATCAGAACC